CTGCTGAGATTGAGAAACAACAATGACATAGAGGAAGAAGAGAAAGAGGTGTGAGGGTTTGTTTATTGTTTTATAGGCTTTTAAAACACAGCAGTCACCAAAAGTCTTTCCTTACGGCTTGCTAACTTTTCTTCACAAAGACTACTTACCAGAAGTTTTTGTGAATTCGCCTAATTGGTTCCAGTCCTGCCTGTCTGAGGAAGCCCAACACCAGGGCTAGAATAATGGTGGTCTGTGGGCCATATGAAGTCCTCCAGCACCTTCTCTGTGTCCCCCAAAATGGACAGAGCTAAAAAAAACCCTCATCAATTTAGGGCTATTTGCTTTTGGGGTTTGGGGGGTTTAGGGGTAATGCAAGGCTCAGCAGATGCATTTCATCCATTAAAAAACAAACACCCCCAAGTAAGGCTTAGTTTGGATCATGGCTCCACTTCTGGACTGCTGGTAAACACTCTATGTCCTTGCCTTAAGCTTTTTGAGTGTTATGAATAGAAAACATTTAGCTGGTTCAGCTTTATAAACGTGCAGCTTTCTGCTATTGGCCAGTCCTGGAAAAATGATGCAGGTGAAATTCAGGATAATGTGTCAGATTATAACTTAGGGTGGATCTAAAATAGAATGCCTGCAGCATGAATATGGGAAGGAATTCCCTATCCCTCATAACACTAATTTTACACTTGTCTCAAAGAAATGAAAATATAGGATATGAGGGGAAAATGACAAGAACACTAGTAAACTTAAATCCACCTTCTAACCAAAATTCAGAGCAAGAAAGATTAAAATCTCCATCCTGAAAGGAAACTGGGCCATCTTTCCTAAGAATTAATTGAAAATTGCTGGGAAAAAAACCACAAGATAAAATAAGTTTCCCCTGGAATCAGCAATAATAGCTTCATCATATCATACACAGATACACAGACCATATATTCATGCTTTACCACACCCCTAGTCTTTTGTTTTAAAAAAGCCCAGATTGGGTTTATTTGCAAAATTAATTCTTGTCTCTGGATTCTGGAAGGCAGAATACTAGGGGTGTGGTAAAGCATGAATATATGGTCTGTGTATCTGTCTTTTGTTTTAAAAAAGCCCAGATTGGGTTTATTTGCAAAATTAATTCTTGTCTCTGGATTCTGGAAGGCAGAATACAGATACACAGACCATATATTCATGCTTTACCACACCCCTAGTCTTTTGTTTTAAAAAAGCCCAGATTGGGTTTATTTGCAAAATTAATTCTTGTCTCTGGATTCTGGAAGGCAGAATTCCACCCACCATCCCTGGATCCCAGGTAGAGGTAGGTTGAGACCATTTCTCTTTCCTTGTTATTCTAATGCTTCTGTCCTTAAGACCCACCAAATACAGGGGACTGCTCACAGTGGCACTCATGACACCAGCCAGAGCTCCTGCCAGTGTGGCCCGCAGCGGGCTGACACGTCCTTCCAGCGTGTGGATGTAGCCTGCCGATTCAAGTATCCCGTAGGTGCCCAAACGGATGCCGTTAAAGCAGAACTGATAGAACAGAGCAGGCAAAAGTCCTCGCTGGAGAGCTGCCAGCCCATCCACCCGTCCAATGGTGTAGAAGGCATGGAAGACATTACGATAATGGCGGGTGTAGGTGCCAGGAGCACGTAGTTCTCCTTGGAGTTGCATCCGGGTCTTCACCACCTCCAGGGGGTTGGTAAAGAGGCAAGCCCCACAGGCAGCCACCCCACTAAGAAGAAACTCCATTACTGGGGTCAAGGGAGCTGGAAGAGAAAAGAGAAACTGTAGAGGTAGCATAACCCAGACCCACCCAATGGAGAAAAAGCCAAGATGATGGGCCAGCTGAAGGATCTAAGGAGGCATGGAGGAGGGACACACCCCAGGTCCTCAGAAGGCCCAAAGAAGTACCACGTGAGGGACTGGAATGTCAAATGGAGGAGATGTGGAGGAGGAGGAAGGAGAAGAAATGGCAACTATAACAGAGAAGGCAGGTCCATTATCAGGAGGACCAGAAGAACGGTGGGTGACAGCGAGGAAGAAAGAGGTGTCACCATCAGGGTTCTGTGTGGCTCTCTTCCACCCAGCACGGGAGAGGATGAAGGGAAAAAGAAGATACTCAAGGGGAGAAACATCGAGAAGCAGAAACAGGATGAAGAGAATCCAGGTAGGAAAGGCGGCTAGAAGAAGGGCGGGCTCCTGGGGAAGACCTTTGCAGCAGGGAGAAATTAAGAAAGGCGGTCTGGTGATCAGGAACCATAACCTGGCAGGAAGGTTATGGAGCGATGAGGGGAGCGCTCCCGTGGTGCTCTCGCCGGCACGTGGAAAGCAGGCTGGGAAATCCGAGACCGCGGATGCTCGGAGGAGGCGTCCCGGGCAGCCGGAGGATTCAGAGCCGAGAAATGACCGGGGCAATCTCGGAAGCGGGGTGGAAAGGCGTCCTCGCTTCCTCTCGCGGCCAGTGCGCAAAGGCGAGGCTGCGCCGCTGAAACCGTCCTCGCCCTCCGCCCGGCTCTCGCCCCTCTCTGTCCGAGCCGGAGCCGCTGCGCCCGAGATCCCCGCGGAGGCCACGCCCCCAACCGGTGCGGCTGGCCAACGGCTGACCACTTCCCACGACGTCACGCCCCGGGCGCGCCCTGGATCTTACGCACCGCTCGGCTGCCCGGCCGCGGGGGACGGGGGTGCTTAGCGGTCGCGC